CCGTGACCGTGCATCATAGCGAGAAGCCACGCATTTCACGTGAAACAGTGGAACTGTAGCTTTCCCACAAGGCCAAGCGCTTGTCGGTAACCCAATGTTTTCACAGCGAAACAAATTGATAAATTTACAATAAAATGATGTATAACAGAGCTTTCATACAGCTTTACACACACATTACTCTTGGATGGATTACTCGTGAACGCAGGCTTGCACAGAAATGCCACACATATCACATGAAAGCGCAGGACTAGAGCTTTACAGTGATACCACACACATCATTGTGCTGTCATCCCATCATGCTATAAATACAGATCAATTCTCTACCAAATAAAATCCTGATGAATTTCTTTACAATCCATGATACAGATCTTGTTATCAGTCACTTCATATAGTGAGGAATATCGTATCTTACCACGTCTTAGGCTTGCGTGTGTTTCTCCCTGTCTATTCACATTTGTAGTCCGGCTTTCAAGATGCAAATATCTCCATATTGTCTGGTTGACACATCAAACTTTGTATGACAAGACAAGCGCACTTCACCTTTGCGCACCCAGACAACTGCAGCCTAATTATGCATGGGTGACAGGGCAGTAGTCACCATATACATTGAGGGGGACACGTGCCTCCCCACCAATGCCCAAAATGTCCACCACAATATATAACTGAAATTAAAAAACAAATATTATCTTGGAGGACATCATTACACTTGGTTGACTAATTTGCTATTATCTTAGATGTAAATATTACATGTTTCTTTCAGATAAAACACATTTTTGACTTGTGAATGAGTCAATGGAATTTCTTGCAATAATGAAAAAATACTGGCAATCATGCCTGGCACAAACCACATGATTTGGACAGCTATGAAGTGACAGAATGTCCCAGCATCATGGTTCTTATATTGCCAGATTCCAGAGAGTCTCCCGTCTTCATATATGGCAGAATATGTCAACTTCCAACTTGCTATGGTGAGATACATGTAAAAATGTAAGAATTTAGGCATACAGATTTGTTTTTTTCATTGATACAAAAATGAATATAAAATACAGGCACATGGAAGGACATGGCATGATGGCAAATCTGGTTAGCCCAGATTGTCCTGAAAAAAAAAACAAAAACAAGAATGTGTATGTAGCCTTTATAATGACTGTGATATGAGCTTATAAGTATTTTTGCTGAGTGGCTCCAAAGCGAAGGGAGCGCCGATTTTTTTCTCATTAATTCCCATGTAAACTGAAAGGAGACATTTCTGGAAAACAACTTAGGTGCAACACATTTGTAACTCGCGCGTGTGACAAAAATGACATAAGCGTTCGGAACGAGTATATCTCTCTGATGATATCTTCAGATTGACGATTGGACCAACGGTTTGGGAATAGGAAGGACTACTTCGAGAAATTTTAAACCCATATTAAACAGCCTTTGCTGATCTGCTCTCTCATGAGCTCTCTGTGTGCCCCTCAGGTGTAGGCAAGTCATTAATTGCCATGACAACGGCTGCACACACAGACACACACACAGCCCTCTGTGTGTGCGTGTCTCACAATCTTTAAAGGACAGATTACAGCAGCAGAATCTTCATTTGAAACAGCATCTACACATTATATATCAGTGTTTTCCATCTCCCACATACTACTACAGTCTTTATTACTGATAATACTGTTGCCACTTTTGTAAATATGACTGTTAAATACATATTGTAACGTACTGTAATATAAAGTCCCTCTATTGCCAAAAATGACCTTGCGTACCCTTAACATTGCTTGTTTTCTCTACATTTCGACTCTTACGAATAATTTCCACTGTCTGCGTGAGCTGGAGGCAGAAATGGCCACGAGTGCGAGGTCCCGGCCAACGCTGCTCGCAGCTTTAATTCTTTATTATTCTTTCTCCCTCTAAAAGTACCATGAGCAAATGTGGAGAAATTGTCAGTTTATAATGGGTGTGTATTGCACGGAATGTTGTGAGCTAGAGTGGAGAGGGCTCTTAAAATTGTCTAAAACTTTTGTCTTTAACTGGCTGCTACAGCCACAATTTTCACTGTACAGACACAATTTATACCAAAAAACATAGGAAAATTTGTCCTGGTCACAGATGTTGACATAGAATCTCTCACACGTACACATTTTTGCTGAGTGGCTCCAAAGCGAAGGGAGCGCCGATTTTTTTCTCATTCACTCCCATGTAAACTGAGAGGAGACATTTCTGGAAAACAGCTGAGGTGCAACACATTTGTAACTCGCGTGTGTGATCACATTTTTGACTCCACATATATAAAAACTGACATATACGTTCATGAGAAGTGTATCTCTCTCACCATCACATTATTTTGATGATTAGATCAACGGTTTGGGAATGGGAAGAACTTGTTCCAGAAATTTTAAATCCTCTGTGTGTGCGTGTCTCACAATCTTTAAAGGACAGATTACAGCAGCAGAATCTTCATTTGACACAGCATCTACATATTATTAACCCCTGAAGTGCCAAAATGGGCTCTCTAGCGCCACCTAGGTACACTAAATTGGCCACTGCGGCCCATAGGAATGTCGTAACTCGCTCGTGTGATCACATTCTTGACTCCACATATATAAAAAATGCAATATGCGTTCGAGAGAAGAATCTCTCTCATCATCACATTACTTTGATGATTAGACCAACAGTTTGGGAATGGGAAGAACTTGTTCAGGAGTTAAATTTCCACTAAAAGAGGTCTCTTCTCTGTGTTCTATCTGTTTCTCTCTGCTCTTCTGCCAGGTGCACTTACTTCATCACCATGGTAACCGCTGTCACACACAAACTCACAGAAACATGATGGTGTGTGTGTGTCAACATCTTACATGCAGACATGACAGGGGCAAAATCTCCATTTTAACCCTTTAGGTGCCAGAGTTTATTGAGGAAAATATTCCGTTTTCATTTCAACATTTCAAAAGGCTGTCGCTTGAAAGTGGTGAGAGATACAGGCATACTGTACATAAGAAAAGTATTCATCATGACCCAAACTTTGTGATGGGAGTAAATTAACTCATCTAATTTGCATATTGTGGGGTCACTAGGCAGCGGCCATGTTGGATTTCATAAATCTCAGTAAAACAACATTTTGAACATATTTACACAGTAGATTTCTTTTGTTTTGTGCTGTTTTTGTCATCTCATCCTCAAAAAAAAGGAGGGGAGTCTGATGGGAGTAAATTAACTCATCTAATTTGCATATTGTGGCGTCACTAGGCGGCAGCCATATTGGATTTCATCAATCTCAGTAAAACAGCATTTTGAACATATTTACACAGTAGATTTTTTTTTCAGCTCTTATAGATAATTCACACTGACCGCATAAGCTGGAGGCAGAAACGGGCACGAGTGCGAGGTCCCGCCAAACGGTGCTTGCAGCTTTACTTCTTTCTTTCTTTCTCCTGCCGTCTCTTTGAACCGCAATTTGACCCCCTAAACATGCTCAAAAACTCACCAAAATTGGCATGCATGTCAGGACTGGTGAAAAATTTTATAAAATGAAAAAAATAACCCCTAAAGTGCCAAAATGGGCTCTCTAGCGACACCTAGACACACTAAAATGGCCGCTGCAGGCAGTAGGAATGTCGTAGAAAGATCAAACCAAAACTGGTTTGTTCAACTCATCGAGACCTACATGTCACGTGCTGACACCCATGACCTAAACCCAACAGGAAGTGAGCTATTTGCCCTTTCAAAGTAAGATTTCGTCTCAAAAATGCTCTTTTTCAAACTTTTTTAAAAAACATCTTCTCCTACACCATTTATCGTATGGGCTTCAAACTCACAACCATGACAGATCAACCCCTGGGAAACAAATCTCCTGAACAACTCAAACAGTTCGGATTTTATGGGCTCCTAAAGGTGGCATTCCACAAAACCTCCTGATGATTTTTGCGCCACCTAGACACACTAAAATGGCTGCTGCGGCCCGTAGGAATGCTGTAGAAAGACCAAACCAAAACTCGCTTGTTTGTCTTATCAAGACCTACAAATCACACTCTGACACTCCTAACCTAAATCCAACAGGAAGTGAGCTATTTGCCCTTTCACAGTAAGATGTCATTTTTCAAAAATTCTCTTACTCAAAAAATATCCACTCCTACACTGTTTATCGTATCGACTTCAAACATGCACACATGACAGGCCAAGTCCTGCTAAACAGTACCTATGAACAACTTTGTCATTACTCGAACGGTTTGGATTTTATGCCCTGTTAAAGGTGACATGTTACAAAACCTCTTGACAATTGTTGCACCACCTAGACACACCAAAATGGTTGCTGCTGTCCGTAGGAATGTCGTAAAAAGATCAAACCAAAACAGGCTTGTTCGTCTCTTTGAGACCTACAAATCACTCATTGACACCCCTGACCTAAATCCAACAGGAAGTGAGCTATTTCCTCTGACAGTAACATGAGCAAATGTGGAGAAATTGTCTGCTGTGAGCTAGACATCGGAAATCCGCATTTTTGACAAACATAAACTATATAGCTGAGTTCAGGACGAGTGTATCTCTCTGCTGGTATGCTCACATTGACGATTGGACCCACGGTTTGGGTTTTAAAGGGAGGAGTTCAACACATTTCAAAGCCACCTCCATCTGCCTGCTCTCACACAGCTTCTCTCTCCCTCTCAGTGACGGACTCAGCAGGGGCATAGCAATCATTTCAGAAGTGAGGGGGACAAATTGTTCAGAGGTCTATTGAGTGATTTATCATCCTCTCGCATTCAATTGCATCTCTCCTTAGCAGCTAAAGAACCACATAACGACAAACAGCCACAGTGCAGCACCAGGAGATAGTTAGGACTGTATGTGTATGATATTTTATTGTTTGCTCTTTTATTAAGCACATTTTATTTCCCTTGGAACTCATGTACTGTGCTTATTTTTCTTCTTCCCTTGCTTTAGGGCTGAATAGTAATGGTAGATTGTGAAGAGTCCCCATAGCTACTGTAAGACAGACGTGCATTTGTGGATGTGTGTCTTACTCTGACAAGGTCCTCTGGGAACTGTCCTCGTGAGTTCTCAGGAACGTTGATAGGCGGGATGACCCAGTCCCTCTTCACCCGCCGCAGAGTGCCATCACCCCTGACAACCAAGCTGCGCAATGGAAACAAGATCTCTGGTACCCGCTGAGTCAGTGTTGCATCACTGGGTTTTACCTGCAGAGACAATAAACGAGCGTTGTGTACTGGGCTACACACACACACACACACACACACACAGCATGGCTGCGTGGCAGAGCCAGCCTGCTGGGCTGGGAAGGCTTGGTGATTCAGGGCATTTCTGACCTAATTTCAATGGCTTGGATTAATGTTCTCATTATAGTCCAGTGTGTGACTCCTATGTAATGTAGCAAAAGACACACAGAACAAAATAGAGTCAGACTGAAGTCTGGATTTCAAAAACTCTATTTTACATGCTGCAGGGCTGTACAGATGGTGAAAAAAATATGCAAAAAGTGCAAATGTTTAAATCCATGTTGGACTTTTGTTTGTTTTTTTTTGTTTTCAGTGTATTCTAAAAATTCTTTATACATTACTTCAATGATGAACAATATGAGATTTATTGTATTTTCGAAACACATAAAACATACACAACAACAACATACACGACAAATCATAAAACCTGCTCAAAATACCCATCCCTGTCTCCAAGGTCAGGGGTGAACTCCCCACGAGCAGTAGGTGAGATGCTGGAGGGCAGAATATATGAGAAGCTCTTCCTTTTCCTTATCCTCTGGGAACCCTGCAGTGTAGCTGCAACCAACCAACCAACCAACCAACCAACCAACCAATCAATCAATCAATGTATTTGTCACATAAAATTATATGACATACAATTTCAGTGAAGTGCAATGCTGTCAGTTCCCTCAGGAACAGGAGTACAGGAGTGGACATTCCTCAGTATTTGAAGGGATACTCAGAATTTCCTCAGGCGTCTCAGGTAGAACAGTCTCTGCAAATGACCCGTTGTTATTAGGCAGCATAGTTCCTTGGCTGCTTCTTTCCAAAGTCCACTATCATCTCCTCTGTTTAGCTGACATTCAGGAGTAGGTTGTTGTCCTGACAACAGTGGTTCAGGTCCTCTACTGGATGTTGCTGGTGAGTGTTGTGCTTTTATTACAGTTTGCGTTGTAAGCTTGTTGTTGACTGTCTAGTCAACCCTCTGTTAACGTACCTTTATGTTAGTTAGCTACCTAGCTAATGTTAATGTCAAGATATTGTTGTCACAGACACAAAACCCACGTACAGCACGTCAGTAGAGTAAGTGCTACAAGCTTCATGTGAATATGTGTTAGCTAGTCTCCAAGGTCATGTAGGTCATTCGGGATTAGAGCCAGATCATCCATGTAAGATATCTGTTCAGTGTTGCTGCTGTTATTTTTTCTGTTGTGACTCTTACTGCAAATAGCTTGTGAGCCAGAAATAAATACCTTTTTCCTTTCTTTTTTATATCATATCTGAAGATTAATCTTGTACTGATGAGTTGATGCTTTCTTCTGTTGCTCTGCTGTGTATATTTGAATTAAGAGTTTTATCTTTTTTTTTCCAATTCAGTTACATTTAATTACAATTCTTGTATAATAATGGTAAATTTAATATAAAATCTTCACTGCACTTATTCCATCATTGCAACAACAGAGTCATATCAGAATAATCACTTCTCTTTTTAACACAAACACTGTTTTCATTCATTAATGAATCACAATACTTTCTATCTTCTTTTTCTTGTGTATGTTGTTAAGCTATAGTGATTGAAATGCAACACTTCCTGCAAGACCTTTCACAACAAAAGCCTACCAGGGAAAAAAATGGATTGCCATTTGTATTTTCTGTGAGATGGTGGAAGTCTTTTAAAAGAAAAACACATATAATAAAGAGTGTGGGAAATTTGGGGTTGCAATAAGAGTTGCTTCCCAGAAATCTAATAAATAGAAAGTAGGAGAATTAAAATTATTTACTGAATGAAAACAATACCTCTGTTTATTAGAAATATACTAGTTGGTCACATTTTAGCCATTTTTAAGCATTTTTCTGTTGTTATAGCGCCACCCAGTTGCCAATTAGAGTTAAATTTCTCCAGTCACCTTGAGGCGTCCTGTTCTACATATCTACCAAGTTTAGTAAAAATCGATATGGCCTAGATAAGAAATTAGCTCTCTAGCGCCTCCATTTTGTTTGATCGAAACCCTTGAGATGTTATACACCTTTATGTGATGAGCCACGCCCTCCGCAACATTCATTGCCTTATAGAAGCTCAGTTTTAGTAAGTTTTCCAACTTTTTCCAAGAGGGAACTTTAGACATTGGTCCCTAGATTATGTTCACCGAGTTTCATGCAGATCGGTCAAACTTCCTAGGAAGAGATCGATTTTAAGTGTTTTTCAAAAAATTCAAAATGGCAGAAAATCTATGTTACCAGAAGCTGTGGGTTCTTGAGGCAGATTTGTTCCTCATAAGGAGAGGCATCTCTGTGCTAAGTTTCATGTCTGTACGACATACGGGGCATGAGATATGCCCATTCAAAGTTTGCAATTTCAATCGATTGCTATAGCGCCCCCCCTTTGGCCAGCTGATGTAATATTGCTTCATTGGCATCCTCCCATTACCCGCTACCACAGTGCCAAATTTCACATGGATTGACCAAGTCAGTGAGGAGAAAAACATGTAACAGACACACAGACACACCCACACACACACACACACACACACACACACAGAGTTTTCGTCATTATATAGTAAGATGTAAAGAATGACTTCAATGAATTAAAAAGGAAGCAGATCAGAAAATATCGAAGATTCAAACACTTAAAGACATTTATTTGGATTTGACATGACTAGTGCTACAGAAATCTATACTTGGTCACAGATACCCCAAAGTACCTGTCGGTATCTGATGAGACCAACATTTTTCTTATGCAGTGCGACATCTCCTTCACATAGAGTTGTACAGGTTGTTGATTGTGGCCTGTGGAATGTTGGCCCACTGCTCGTCAATTGCTGTGTGAAGTTGGTGGATACTAGCAGGAATTAGAATTTGCTGTTGTGCAGATCCAGAGCATCTCAAACCTCAGTATTCAGGCTATGCAAGAACTGGGATGTTTTCAGCTTTCAGGAATTGTGTACAGATCCCTGCAATGTGGGACCGTGCATTATTATGTTGCAACATGAGGTCATGGTGGCGGATGAATGGCATGACAGTGGGTCTCGTCACAGTATCTCTGCGCATTCAAACTGACATCAATAAAATCATTGTCTGCAGCTTATGTCAGCCAGTGCCCTGACCCCATCCCCACCATGGGGCACTCTATTCACAACACTGGCTTTAGCAAAGTGCTTACGCACAAGACGCCATACATGCTGTCTGCCATCTGCCTGGTATGGTGTAGACCAGGACTCATCTGTGAAGACACTTCTTCAAAGTGCCAGACACACTGTCGAAAGTGAGCAGTTTCCCACGCAAGTCAGTTACGACGACAAACTGCTGTCAGGTTAAGACTGTTGAGAACAACGGCCACATAGATGAGCTTCCCTAGGATAATTTCTGATGGTTTGTGCAAAAATCTATCCTACATTCCATGTCTCTGGGGTCAAGCCTGTGCAGGAAGGTTCCCTCGTCCCTGCCTCCAAACCTCCGCCTCCTCTGTGTCTCCTCGATGGTGGTCCCACTTACACACGCAAGTTGCTGTCAGCTTGTCATTGGAGTCACGGTTGGCAGTACCTGGTGGACTGGGAGGGCTACAGTCCTGAGGAGCGCTCTTGAGTTTCACGCCCACCACCCTGGTCAGCCTGGTCCGTCTAGAGCCATCCCTAGGAGGGGAAGTACTGACACGACTCTGTCAAGTTCCTGAGATTCAGTCAGTCCCCAGTGTTTCCAGCTTGACATCTTTCCCCACGTCCTGTGTCACATCTGTGTCTTGTTTCCCCTGATTACCTGTGTATATATCCCCAGTCTGTCTTCCCAGTTGCCAGTTCATTGTTTGTTCCCTTGTGTCACCTTCATTGCAGCGCTGTTTCTTCCATGAGTTTTCTTATGATTTTTGACCTCAGCCTGTTTTTGACTCTGTTTTTGCCTACACCCTTTTAGACTGTTCGCCAGATTTTTTGCCTTCCTGTGTATCAATTCGGACTGTAATAAATACTTTTTACTGATCTGCCCTGGTGAGAGTCTGCGTCTTTGAGTCCTTGCCTCTGTGTACTCAGTTCCTGTCACTGTATATTTTAGAACAATTTGAGAATTGCTGAATATTTTGCATTTCAAAGAATCTGGTGGCCATGTCAAGGACCGAGGCTTTTGTAACTAGGTGTTGTTTAAAATGAGCATCTCTGATCTGTCAAGCAAAGACTGATTGTCCTGACATTTGGAGCTTGGTGGGCTATAAATATGATGCCTGTTTGTCTTACTCTTCAGTTTAATTTGATAACAACCCTGGTCCTACCTTTCAGTTGAAGGGTACATTGCTGACACTGCTCCCCTGGCAAATGACTGGCTGCTATGCACCATGGCTGCTTCTCATGCGTTTTCCTTATGAAGGATTGTTGAGAGCTTCACTCTCAGTGATTCTCCTTCTCACTGACTGCAGCCAGCAATGTTGATAGCAGCAAAAGCATATGACAGCCGGCTGTTTCTGGGCTGTGTTTAGAAGAACCGCCAATCAGGGCCAGTGTCTTGTCTAAATACATGCAGAGGGCATTATTATCACTGTTGTATATGAAACAAACTAACAGATGGCTATTTGACTCACTTTGTCTCTGCAATCAGCACTTGGCCAACCTCGGATGCCTGCTGGGCTGGAAAAGCTATCTTTTATATCATCCAACATTACTGAAGCCTTGATATGCAATGACTCAGGGACAGCAGATCTGTGTTCACTGTATATTTACTTAGAGACAGTGAGAGCTGCATACTTTGGAATTAATACATAGAACAAATACATTAATGACCAAATTAGGACTTAAACTACAATTTATATTCATCACTGCTTAATTCATCATTTATATTTTTCAATAATCTATTTGTCATTAATCATCTTATAGAATATCAACAAGTGACAAAATATCCATCACAAGTGTCCTAAATTCAAGGTCACATCATTAATGATATTTACTCTGGCCAACAGTTCAAGGTACTCAGTGAAAACAATGTCTGGTGTGCTCATA